GGGGAAAGGGGTGCCCCGCGGGGTCCCCAGGGGCGGGAGTGCCCGGGGAGGGACCGCCGGGGAGTCCGAAACGGCAGGGGCCACACTGGGCTGGGAGCAAGGAGATCGCCCGGCGAGAGCGGGCACAGGGGCTGGAGAACGCTGGGGGCGACCGGGCTGGCCCCTCCCGGCCCGCAAAGCCTACCCGGCCTCCGAGGAGCGGCGACGGAGCCTCGATCCCGCGGGAGCCAGCTGACTTGGTAAGGGAGGGATCCCGAGTCTAACCCGGTGTCCGCTCCAGAGCTGGCTCCGTCCGTCTGCACAGGTACGTGTTCATCGTGCAGAAGAGCTACCAGGACAGCGAGACGGGCCCCGAGAGCTCCGTCATCACCAAGGTCAAAGGCATCACCTTGTCCGAGCACAAAGTGTGGGACGTGGAGGAGTACGTGAAGCCCCCCGAGGTGCGCCCCGCCCCCCACCCCCGCACCCTGAGAGCGGGACCTAACGGTGGCCCAGGCGCCCCCGCCGGCCGACCCGCCCTTCTTTCTGAGCTCAGGGGGGCAGCGTGTTCAGCATCATCACCAGGATCGAGGTCACCCCTTTCCAGAGCCTCGGAACCTGCGCCGAGGTGAGGCCGAGTCGAGGGCAGAGCTGGGAGGGGAGGGAGGAGCCCTGCCTGGTCAGCTGCACTGACCGAGCTGCGCCTGGGGGCAAGGGGTGTCGGGGCCCCTGACTAAGCAGTACCTTCCCTAGAGTATGAGGGTCAACAACGCCACCTGCGACTCGGACGAGGACTGTGTGGCTGGGCAGCTGGACATGCTGGGAAACGGTCAGTGTGAGCCAGCCAGGGGAAGGGGTAGGGGCAGGGGCAGGGCCGGGGCGCGCCCCGCGCCACCTGAGCGCACGTCTGCCCGCAGGCTTGCGAACCGGGCGCTGCGTACCTTACTACCACGGGTCCTCCAAGACCTGCGAGGTGACCGGCTGGTGCCCGGTGGAAGACGGGGCCTCAGTCAGGTGTGCGCGGCTGGTGACCCCACCCACCTAGGACCAAACAAGAGCCTCTCCGCTTTGCTCCTTTCCTCTCGCTGACCAGAGCTGGGGTTGCTGGGGGAGGGGGAGGGGAGGACAGTGCAGCCAGGGGGGGCTGGGGAAGGTGGGGGAAGGGGAGACTAAACACACCCAGTCTGTGCCTCCTCAGCCAGTTTCTCGGTAAGATGGCCCCCAATTTCACCATCCTCATCAAGAACAGCATCCACTACCCCAAATTCCAGTTCTCCAAGTAAGAGCCATTGGGCCACGGCAACAAGGGACGGGCTGGGGTGGGAGCTGCCTCCTTGGAATGTGCTGTCTGGGGGTGCAAGGCTTCTGCCCTCTCTCCACCTGATGCCGCGGGGCCTTGTCCTCAGGGGCAATATCGAGCACCGGAAGGATGGCTACCTGAAACACTGCACGTTTCATGAGGTCTCTGACCTCTACTGCCCCATTTTCAAGCTGGGCTACATCGTGGAGCAGGCAGGGGAGAACTTCACGGAGCTGGCACACACGGTGAGGGCGCAGCCAGGGAGAGTGGGCAGGGCAGCTGTCCTGGGTGCTGGCTCCCACCTGCACACAGAGGGTCTCATTACAGCTGAGTTCCTCTGCAGTCTTGGCCAGCCCTGGCCCTGCTCGGGCAGAGGAAAGAGAAACACGATCGCCTGACCCATCCGGGTGTGTGGCTCCTGCTAAATTATTGACTCCTGGTCACACAGTTGGCCACTGGCATCCTCATGCTTCAGAAGCAGGGCACTCAACAAGCCCAGCTCTCTGCCCCAAGCTGCCCTGGATGCCCCCAGTATGCCCCTCGCACAGCCTCAGCAGGACCCCAGGGCTCTTGAAGTCCTCTCTGTGAACTCAGTCTTACCAGTCTCTGGGCCCATTTCTGGGCAGGGTGGTGTCATTGGGGTCATTATCAACTGGGACTGTGACCTGGACCTGTCGGCATCAAAGTGCAACCCCAAATACTCCTTCCGGAGGCTTGACCCCAAGCACATCCCAGCTTCATCTGGCTACAACTTCAGGTACCTTGGCCTTGGGACACTTGGGTTCTTGTCTGCCCTGGCTGTGGAGGTCCAGGAGCAAGTAGGGCAGGTGCCCAAAAGCCTGGGGGCGCAGTGGTCAGCAGTCTCGGAGCTGCCCCCTGGGTAATGGGCGTACCCACCACCATGCTCCTCAGGGTCAGAGCCACGGCTCTCGTACCCAATCATTCTGTCCCAGACTCTGACACACTTCCGGGTCCTAGGTTCGCCAAGTATTACAAGATAAATGGCAGCACCACCCGCACACTCATCAAAGCCTACGGGATCCGCATTGACGTCATTGTGCACGGACAGGTGACCTGCCCGCCCTGCCTACCTGGGATTCAGGCTGGCCCAGCCTCTGTCTCCCGCATCACTCGACCCCCCCCTCCCTTGAGTCCCACCCACTCCCCACCAGCTGAGGAAGCCTCTCCCCGCCAGGCAGGGAAGTTCAGCCTGATCCCCACCATCATTAACCTGGCCACTGCGCTGACCTCCATCGGGGTGGTAAGAATACACGCTAGGGTTGGGGACGTCGGGGGTTTGCCAGGCCCTTATGCATTGGTCTTGCTGGCCTCAGGGCTCCTTCCTGTGCGACTGGATCTTGCTAACATTCATGAACAAAAACAAGGTCTACAGCCATAAGAAATTCGACAAGGTGTGTACCCCAAGACACTCCTCAGGTAGCTGGCCTGTAACCCTGGCCCTTGTTTTGGGCCAGGCCCCTCCCCCACCCTATCCCTGCTCTGCAGACCCTGGGGAGGCAGGCCGTCTTCGGGGTGAAGGGCAGAGCCAGGACGGAGCTGTCCCACCCCCACGGCCTCGCCCCACCTCCGCCCCATCTGAGCAGATGGTGGATGCTCCCAGCCGGGGTGCAGGACCAGGGCTCTGTGCCTCCCAGCCTTCCCAACAGGACTGCACACTCACAGACGCCCGAGGTCTGGCCCAGCTCTGAGCCTACTCCCACCTTCCGCCATGCTGCACCAGAGACCTGGGCCTGTCCGGGCCCCTGAAGTGTGTGGCCACGAGACAGCTCCCAGCTTCCCTAGCAGCACGGCTGGGACCTTGGACCTGGGCACTGCCCACACCCTCAACACTGCATCTCAGCAAAACCAGCAGCCAAAGGACCCCCAAGCAAATGGGATGACATGAGGGGATGGCCCTCCATCCTGTCGCCCATCTGCCCAGGGGCCTGTAGGGGCGAGTGCCCACTTCCACACCTCTACCTCCTCCCCACCCACCCACCACTACCCTGGCCCTTTGCTCGCCTTGTAGCCAAGAAGTCACATATAATAAACCCGTGACCAGTACCTCCTGGCCTCCTTTTTTGGGGAAACGCATCTTGAGGCTCTGAAGACAAATATGCGCACGAGGGCTCTTGGTGTCCTCGGTTTTCATCTTCCCTCTAGCCAGCCTGGGTGCAGGGTGTGCGGACATGTCTGCTGCCCCCGTCCAGCCAGGTTACAGTCACATCCGATCTGGGGGCCAGTGGAGGTGGAGGACACACAGGCTGAGAGTGTGTGAGGATCCCGGGACCCGCCCAGCAGCTGCCCTTTAATGAGCACATTTACCGGATAACTGCAGGGGTCACCCCAGGCTCCAAACCTCAAAAAAAAGGGAAAAGGATGGCACCTCTCGAGGAAGAAGAAAGCCAGAGGGGAGGCTGTGAGAGCTGCCCCCAAGGAAAAAGAAAGCTTAGGTCACATTGGGCTCTTAAACCAAAACACCTGTCAAGGCCCTGAGGCTCTACTTAAAACGGGGATTGACGTGGGGCAAGGACGTTGGTGCCGGGGAGCAGGGGTGGACAGGGCAGGAGGTGGAGCGTGGAGAGCTGGCACTGGGTTAGCCAGCTGCATGCTTGGATGCTACAGTTGTCATTCCACCCAGCAGCTCTACCTGGCCAGGCCCTGCTCTGAGGGACACCATAACCCGGTGGAGGGCGGCTTCTCCAGCAAGTGATGGGTGTGCATGTCTGAGGCACAGTGCCTCCTGCAGACCATCTCACCTGTGATCACAGCACTCCCGAGGTCACGGCTGGCCCTCCCATCTGCCAACTGGGTCGGCCCCACTCTGGAGCCAGCGAACACTTGAGAAGCTCCCATCCAGCCACCCCTGCAGACCCCCCTAGGCTTGCAGTTGGCCCCACAGATCACCCAAGTGCCCGTGACACCCTGAGTGTTTGGCTCACAGACATGCAGCTCTAGTTTTAGAGAAACTGGCTTTTCCAGTTGGGGCTGGGCTCCAGCTCAAGAACCAGGGCCGGAGGCTCAGGTTTCCCATCCCAAACGTGAGTGACCTGGGACCCTCCGCCGCCCTAGATGCTCCCGGTCCCTAAGCTGGCATCTGAGGGAGCTGCCGGCAGCTGCGGAGGCAGCCAGCACCCAGCGCCCCTAGCCCTGCTGCAGGGAGCACAGTAGGGGTGAGGCATGCAGCCCCACCTCAGGCTCCTCTGTGCCCCCTGGGACTTCTCTGTCTCTGCTTCCAGGAAGCCTGGTTTGCCCTCCTCCTCCCATCCGGCCCTAATTTGATTTGTACTCCATCTGGGGCTGACCGGCTCCATCACCAAGCAGAGTCAGGTTTCTTGCAGTCATTGGGCCTGGACACACCTGGTGGGCAGTACCCAGGGGCCGACAAGCCCAGACGGACACATGTCAGTCAGTCTTCTTCCAGAGACCAAGGCACAGTGCACACACACACACACACACACACACACACAGTAAAAATTCTAGGAGACGTAAAATTCACATGGAAATTCCAAGTGTTAAATTAGACAACAAGGATGAATTTAAACCAGGCTCCGGAGCCAGGAGTGGGGCCCCACCACCCACCCATTAAGGGGTTTCTGAGTTTATGATTCACATTTAATGTGTTTGCTGCCTCGTCAAGTTGGCTGTTTTTCTTTTTCTGCTTTTGTAGTTACAAACGAGGGGCAGAGCTGGTCTTGTGTTCTGGGGCTCTTGGCAGAATGGAGGGAGACTCACGCTCAGCAAAGGCTGCACCCGGTCGCTGGAAGGCTGACTCCCAGCCCCACCTGGGACGGAAACCTGCAAGGCCCACACTAGCAACAGGGCACTGAGCAAGACGATGGTAAGTGTCGAAGTTTAAAGGCACGGCCCAGGGCCCTCTCTGCCTCGGGCACTCAGAGACTGGGCAGGCCCTTGGGGTCAGAGGTCCTGGGCTGCTCCCTGAGGCTGAGAAGCAGGAACAATGGCTCTTGTCCTTTGCTGCGTCCTCTCTCGCCCCGCCACCCTCAGAGCTGCAGGAAAGAACTTGGTCTCGCATGTTAAGAAGTATCTTTCTAAAATCCAGGTGCTGACATATGATGTCAAAATCTGAGGTAATGGTGTGCCTCCTTCCTCCACTGGGTCCCCAGGTCCCCTGCTGCGGTGGCCCCTTACAGCACATGCAGGTTCAGGAGGAGGGGGTGCCACACCCACTGCGGCCAAGCCCCCAGCCGTCTCGCTGCTGCACGCAAGGTGACTGCACCCCAATACAGCCCCTCTGCAAACCCTGCTCTGACCAGGTAGTGTCCACAGACAGAGAAGCCTAGAACTCAGAGATGCTCAGGTTGAGGTCAAGGTTCCCTGGATCCGGAGGACAGCATCTCTCCACGGTAGCCCATGACTAAAGAGCCGGGGCTGCAGACCCTACCAGAGCTCAGAGAAAGACCTCTGAGGGCAGCCTGGGCAGGCGGCAGAGGAGAGGGTGGGAAGGCTGTGGGGAGGGCTGTTCACACAGGGGAAACGACCCCTCCTGGGCCTACAGAGGGCTGCCCTGACCGAGGCCGGGGGCATGGGGAACCTGGAGCCACTTCCTGCTCTGGCTGGATCATGTTCCTCTGAGCTGGGTGACCTGCTCCCTGAAAACTCTGAGGATCGTTTTCCTGGGTGCCCATTTTGGATGTGGGAAGTTGGAGCAGAGAATGGGGACACCGCCCCGCTGGCTAGTGGCCTAGCTCGGGGTTCTGCTGCAGCAGCCACTCCAGGGTCTCCATGAGGTACGACATGCCATAGTGCTGGGCAATGTTCCGGAAGATCCCAATCTGCTCCATGAAGACCTACAGGAACGACACAGTGCAACCTCATGCCAGAGGAGGCACAGGGGTCCAAGGCCGAGGCCTGGGTGCGTAAGGGGAAGGGCAGGTGTGGGCAAAGCACAGAGAGGGCCAATGGCCAAGGTGGGCAGCAGGGTCAGCTGTCCGTGGGAGCCCCACCTTGGTGTGGATGGTGAGGGAGAAGCCCCCGGCACAGCTACAGTACACGGCCATGTTGGTCTCCTTCACACCCCGGCACTTCAGGCAGATCTGCAGTGGGAAGCATCCCTGGTCAGCGCTGGCCAGTAGCCTGGTGCCTGGCAAGTTCCCCCTACCCCCACGGCCTTCACGTCAACTATGAATAAAACCTGAGACTCGATAATGGGCTTTAACCAAGGGGTGTCCCTCTCTGTGGACACCCCACCCCTGACTCCGAGTCTGGGGCTCCCCCGTCCCATCACACCAGGCTATCGGCTGTTCTCTGCATGGATCCCAGCACCTCCCTCGGGTCCTGGTTGAGATGTTCCCTCTTGGTGAGACCACTCCTTCATCTACACTGAAAGCCCCCTCCTTTGCACACACATGTCCCCATCTGTTCTCTGTGCTCTCACCACCACGTACACACTTTATCTGTGCTGTTTACTGTCTCTCTCTCTCCACTAGAATAAAAGGTCCATGAAGCCAGTACCTGGCCACTCTAGGTACCCAAAAGGCGCTGTAAGAATGAGTCAACTAGGCTTGTCTACAAGGCCTGATCTAAGAGGCAAACTGCTTATAGAGAAGCCCTCTGCTGACTGGAGCGTAGGGGGGCCAGGCTACAGAACAGCACCCAGCGCCAGGCCCCATTGCTCACCAGGTCCTGCAGGGTGAAGGCCATCAGTTTCTTATGCAGGGCTTCCACCAGGGCCATCTCGATGACTGAAGAGTCGTAGGGGACCTGACAGTTGGAGCAGAGCCACTGAGGCAGCACAGCCCCATCCTAGGCAGAGAAGGAAAGGGCCCGGCCCTGTCACCCTTCCACGCAGCCTTCCTCAGCAGCTTCTCCACACCAGCCCGATGAGACCCCAGAGTCAAGAAGGGATGGGGAGCTCTGGGTGAGAAGCGCGGCCCACCTGCCCACAGCCCCAGGGCACACTCACATCACCACTGTCATCAATTTGTGTCCTGTTTACCAGCACAAGGGTCTGGCACGTGGCAGCTGAGTGGCGTGAAAAAGGGTTCTTCTTTCATTTTTTTTTTTGTGGGGGAGGTAATTAGGTTTCAGAAGAGGTACTGGGGATTGAACCCAGAACCCTGTGTATGCTGGGCATGTGCTCTATCACTGAGCTATACTCTCCCCTAAAAGGGTGCTTGTTTCTAATTCACATGAAAGCTAGCAGGCGGCCCAGCAGGTGCAACCCAAAAACGGTGGAGACTGGGGTCACATGAGAGGGGATACAGCAGGACCCTCCGATTGTCTGACGTCTGAATATTCTGACCCTACCAGCGAGGGGCCGGTGGCGCTGGCCCACCTGAGAGAAGGAGGGGTCTTTGCACAGGTCCAGGTCCCGGCAGAAGTTGCAGCTGCGGCAGATGACCTCAGGGAGCACGTACGAGCGGCAGGGGTCTTGGAACTGGGCCTCCTCTGAGAACTCGCCGACATCTACCAGGCGAAGCAGGTCTCGGTTCAGCTTGTTCACCTGGTTTGTGATGTTCGTGTCCAGAGACAGGACCTGCGGAGAACAGAGCCCACATCAGGGGGACTCCCAGGACGCCCTGCTCCTCTCTGCACCAGAAAACCCTACGGCCAACTCTTTAAGCTACCGTTTCTCAGCATCATCTCAACTCTTCCTTTTCACGTTAGAAGCATCAGAGGGCACATCAGCAGGTCCCCAACTCAAGGCCGTAAGAGTGGAGGCCCAGCCTTGCCGCACGCCTGCTGGCCTCTGTCAGCTCCAGGGCACTCTGGAGCACCAAGGTGGTCACTTGCCATCCTTATTGGCTCCTTCCTCCTCTGTGACAGGCGGTCCGAAGTCTACCAGAGCTTTCTATCCTACTTGCAAAGTGGCAGAGTTCAACCTTCTACAGTGGAGGGATTCCTGGGTCAGCCCAGAAAAGTCTCTTCTCACACACGTGGTGCTGTGGTGCTGGCAGTGGAAGTCAGACTCCCACAGTGGTGCCTGCAGAGCCACAGGCGAGTCACTAACCTCTTGTCTGTAAATAAGAGGACAGGACAGGACAGGTCTGACTGACTCACAGGCCTCCCCCACCCCTCACACCCTGCTGCCCTAGCCCAAGGCCAAGAGCACAGAACCAGACACTGCTTAGAAGGCTTCTCTGGGGGAAGTGCTTATGATCAAACTTGAAGCAAAGTAGAGGAATTCACAAGTACATTTATTTACTTATTTATTTAAACACCTTTATTGTGGTCTGGTTCCTGTAAACTACACATATTTCAAATGTACAATTTGATGATTTTTGATAGATGCATAAACTAATGTGAAACCACCACCACAATCAAGGTAGCTAACATTTCCATCACCCCCCAAGAGGTGCATTTTCAAATTCCCAATTTATCCCTTCCCGCCCTTATACCCCCAGGTGACCATAAGTTTGTTCTCTATGTCGGTGAGTCTGCTTCTGTTTTGTAGGTAAGTTCATTTGTGTCCTGTTTTTTTTTTACATTCCACATATAAACGATATCAAATGGCATTTTCTTTCTCCTTCTGTCACAAGTACTTTTATAATAAGGACTGACAGCCTATTGGGCAATACACCCCTGTTTGTTTAAAAATATATACATTACACAGGCCCTTTACATAGGAACACTGGATTGAATTAAAAGAGACAGATAAAAGCGGAAGTGAACTTACCGAACATTAAGGAAGAAGTAATACTGATTCTACACAGTATCTTCCAGAAAACACAGGGGGGCAACACTCCTAACTCGTCCTGTGAGGCAGCACCACCCTGATAGCAGCATCAAAGTCAGTACAAGAAAACTACAGAAGAACAACTGTCACGTGCACAGACTCAAACATCCCCAGCA